ACCAAAAGCAATACAATAAAAGCAAAAATAAAGAAGTGAAACTACATCAAAAAGCTTCTACAGCAAAAATCAACAAAATTTAAAAACCTATGGGATGGGAGAACATACTTGCAAAGCATGTACCTGGTAACGGGTCAGCATCTAAACTACACAAAGAAGTCATGCAACTCAACAGCAAACCCAGATAATCTGATCAAAACTGGGCAGAAGATCTGAACATTCTTCCAGAGAAGACATACAGAGGCCAACAGACACATGAAGCATCACCCAACGCAAAATGCAAATCAGAACCACAGTGAGACACCACCTCATACCTGTGAGAACAGCTACTGCCGAAGAGGTAAGAAGTAGCCAGCGTTGCTGAGGGTGTGGGGAAGAGCGAGCACCTGAGCACTGCTGGTGGGAATGCAAACTGGTGCAGCGACTACGGGGAACAGTACGGAGGCTCCTCAAAAATTAAAAACACAACTGCCAAGTGATATGTAGTCATCCCACTTCTGGGTGTGTGTCCAAAGGAAATGAACTCAGGATCTCAAAGAGACACCTGCAGCCGCGTGTCCGCTGCCGCGTTACTCACAATAACCACGTCGGGAGACAGCCTTGAGGGCCCATGGATGGAGGAACAGATACAGAACATGTGTGGGTGTGTGTGTGTGTGTGTGTGTGTACACAACGGAGTGTTATTCCACCACAGAAAAGGAAATCTTGCCATTTGTGACGTGAATGGATAGAACTTAAAGCTATCATGGTAAGTGAAATAATTCAGAGAAAGACAAATACCATATGATCTCACTCACATGTGGAATCTGAAAAACAAAACATGAACTCATAGATACAGGGAACAAATTGGTGGCGGGGGGCAGGGTGGTGGGCAAAATGAGCGAAGCGGGTCAGAAGGTACAGGCTTCCAGTGACAGAGTCTGTCTGTCCCGGGATGCGACGCACAGCAGGGACCGCAGTTAACTGCACGGCGCTGGGACGTCAGATGCGGACCTCGTGCTTTCTGCGGGGAGGGGAACACACACCTAACTTACCTAAAATGGTGTAAGAATTTCTAAAACCTTTCCCCCGGGTCCCCATGATAGTGCTATAGGATGAAGTTGTCTACAAGGCCCCATGACCAGAAATAACACTCATGAGGCTAGGCCAGAACCTGTCTCTGCCCAGAGAGTGATCTAAGACCCAAGGTTACACTGACAGATTCTCCAGTAGTTCTGCTGAAAAACAATGAGGTTCTCTGGCCTGCTTATGGAAAGACCTCCAGTTTGTCGAGGACAGAGTGCATTTATGACCATCTCTGTTCAGGTTCGGCCTGGCTGACCCATGGCTACGGGGCTGAGGTGGGCAAGCGGGGACCACGGACAGTCATACTCAGAGCACAGGCCTCCTCCGTCCACTCCCCTCAGCTGCACAGCCACCACCCTGGAGGCACCTTGCAGGCGGGTTAAAATTACTAGTTACATGTTTCTCAAACAAGTAGAATTTTATGGTGTAATTCCTTGTTACATGATGTTTCTGAAATCTAGAAATAATTTAGATGTACAAAAAAGCCATCACAACAGAATTCTCATTCACCCTTCACCTGGTCTCCCCCATGGGAACATGCCATTGTAAAATTATCTAAACCAGAAACTAGCGCTGATACACTGTGTTAACTCATCTACAGATTTGGTCAACTGTCTCTGGGGTGTTTTGTGGACAAGAATTTTGTTTGCCAACAAGTAGCTAATGTCTAAAAGAATGCATCTTCCAAACTGTGAGCTGTGTTACGTGGTGATGTCACCACACTATATGGAAGCTTCCCTGAGAGGAGCCACTGACAAAAGGTCCATGAAATCAAGAGCACATGAAGCATTCTTGATTCCACACACGAGATTAGCATTGGGAATGTGAAAGAGGACAATACTCTCCCAAACAGCTTGAGACACACTCATCAGAGGTCCAGGATACAGAGCTTAGAAAGAGGCATGATTTTTATGGACATGCAGTTTATGAACAAGGCACTGAAATCACACCTGTTGTTTAAAATACAAATTGCCACTGCCGGCAAGGCACCTGGGGAAACCGCGCGGCTGCCCAGGACGGGCTGGAGCTGCACTCAGGTGCTTGTGTCTGACCTGACCGGTGGCCTGAGCACGACAGGCCGGGCACCCAGGCCCTCCGACTGTCCTTGAGGTGAGCTTGTGGTCTGAAGCGGCTCTGATCCCAAACAGCGGTCACGTCCACGGTCCAGTCAGGAGGAGGGGATGGTGCCTCTCCTGGCAGACTTGCTCCTCTGCAGGTCCCACACAAACGTCGGACCTCGGCCGCACGGGCCACGCTACCCGCTGGGAGCCGGGGACACTGGCACCCTGAGGGGAACTGGAGCTGGGCTGCTCAGCGAGGAGGAGACCAGCTGTTGTGTGGGAAGTGAGTCTCCACACAGCCACTGCCTCGTCCCTCCGTCAGCGTGACTCCAGAGAGAGGGATGGCTGGTTACAAAAGTGAAGCCCTAGAGGTAGTGAGGTTTGAGGGGATGAAAACGTTCCAGGATTCCACGG